GGGAGGGAGAGGGAGAGAGAGAGAGAGAGAGAGAGAGAGAGAGAGAGAGAGAAAGAGATCCTTAATTTCTTTAAATTGTTTTAATGTTTTATGCCCGTATTGATACTTTTCAAAAAACAACAGAAAAGACAGTAACATTGTCCACAGAAAGCTTCGACACGGCAAACTATCAACGCTAGCCTATAAAACGTTTTTGCTAACTGATTTGACTTTAAGTTTCTAGCACAATTCTGCTTGCTACACACGAAGAACTACTTTTTTTTCAAATTCAAATTGAAAATATTTTACTCTCCTATTGACACGAAAAGCACTTACCAACAACAGCGAAGACAGTAACATTGTCCACAGAAAGCCCGGCACAATAAATAAACAACTAATCTATAAAACGTAGTCAACTGATCAGTGATCAGAATCCTAGGTCAAAAGTTTTGCACAAATCTGAATGCTACACATGAAACACTTTTTTTTTCAGGTTCAAATTGAAAATGTTTTATTCTCCTATCGATGCTAAAAGCACTTACCAACAACAGCGAAGACAGTAACATTGTTTGCAGAAAGCCCTACACAATAAGCAAACAAATAGATCTAGATCTAGAAATCTATATAGATCTAGCCTAAAACGTAGTCAACAGATCGGAATCCTAGGCCCAACGAAATCATAAGTTTAGAATATATTAGGCTAGTCTTGTATATTGCATGCTACACACACAAAACCACGACACGCTTTTCCAGACACGAACATCTCATAGCATTGGCCTAACACTAGCCTAGGTCCGGGCAACAAACATTGCGATCTTGAATTGTTGTTCGTTTTTTTGTCTTTTTCTTGTAACCGATCAGGAGTTTTTTGTGGGTTGTTTTTTTCAAAGTGAATTTTTTAAAAATAAACTGCACTATGCACTCCTGTTTTTGTTTTGTTTTTTCTTACGGCGCTATTGCTGTTTGTTTTTGTTTTTTTCATCTCTACTGCGCATTTTATTTATTTATTTATTTTTTTTTTGGGAGGGTGCTTTGATTTACAGTGTATTTATAAGCTTGACATAAAAGGATCCTAGAATATGCCTCGCTACTTTTGTCCCAATCAATAGTAGTGGAAACGAACTCCAAATACACTTTAAAAAAATCATATTAAAGTATTTGTTGTTGCTGTTGCTGTTGTTGTTGTTATTGTTGTAGTTGCTGCTGCTGCTGTTTTGTTAGTGTTGTTGGTGTTGTTGTTGTTGTTGTTGGTGGTGGTGGTGGTGGTGGTGGTGGTGGTGGTG